ACTGCCTTGTAGTAGAGTTTGTAGTTAGGGAGGTTGATTCCTCCCATTTTCTTTTTCCCAAGAATTGCTTTAGCTATTCGTGGGGGCTTATTGTTCCATATGAATTTCAGGAGTGTTTGCTCCAATTCTTTGAAGAATGTCATGGGTATCCTAATAGGGATTGCGTTGAATTTATACAGTGCTTTGGGAAGTATTGCCATTTTGACAATGTTAATTCTCCCGATCCATGAACAGGGGATATTTTTCCATTTCCTCGTATCCTGTTTTATTTCCTGAAGTAGAGTTTTGTAGTTTTCTTTGTACAGGTCCTTTACTTCCTTAATTAAGGTGATTCCTAGGTTCTTGATTTTCTGGGGCACAATTGTGAATGGGATTGTTTTCTTCATGTCTTTTTCTTCTCTTTCACTATTTGCATATAGGAAAGCCATGGACTTTTGGGCATTGATTTTTATAACCTGCCACTTTACTATACAAGCCTATTGTTTCTAGAAGTTTCTTGATAGAGGTTTTAGGGTTTTCTAAGTATAGTATCATATCATCTGCGAATAGTGAGAGCTTGATTTCTTCCTTTCCTACCTGGATGCCCCTAATATCCTTTTCTTGCCTAATCGCTATTGCAAGTACTTCCAATACTATATTGAACAGCAGTGGAGAGAGTGGGCATCCTTGTCTCGTCCCTGATCTTAGAGGGAAGGCTCTCAGTTTTTCGCCATTGAGGACGATGCTTGCTGTAGGCTTGTGGTAGATGGATTTAACTATATTGAGGAAAGTCCCCTCTATCCCCATTTTGGCTAGGGTTTTCATCATAAATGGGTGCTGGATCTTGTCAAATGCTTTCTCTGCATCTATTGATATGATCATATGATTTTTATCTTTTTTTTTGTTGATGTGGTGGATTATGTTGATTGATTTCCTAGTGTTAAACCAGCCTTGCATCCCCGGGATGAATCCTACTTGGTCATGGTGTATGATCTTTTTGATGAGTAGTTGAATTCTATTTGCTAGTATTTTGTTGAGAATCTTCGCATTCGTGTTCATCAGGGATATCGGCCTGTAGTTTTCTTTTCTCGTGGTATCTTTGTTTCCTTTTGGTATTAAAGAGATATGGGCTTCATAGAAACTGTTTGGGAGAGTTTCCGTTTTTTCAATTTCCTGAAAGAGCTTGAGAAGGACTGGCAGCAGGTCCTCTTTAAATGTTTGGAAAAATTCGCTAGTGAATCCATCTGGGCCCGGGCTTTTGTTTTTGGGAAGGCTTTTGATTGCAGTTTCTATTTCGTTGATGTTAATAGGTCTATTCAGATACTCCAGGTCTTCTTGATTCAGCTTGGGGAGATTATAGAAGTCCAGGAATTTGCCCATTTCTTCTAGGTTCTCTTGTTTCGTGGCATACAGACTTTCAAAGTAGTCTCTGATGATCTTTTGGATTTCTTTGGTTTCTGTTGTGATATCCTCCTTCTCATTTCTGATTCGGTTTATTAGGGTTCTCTCTCTCTGTTTCTTTGTGAGTGTTGCGAGTGGTTTATCCATCTTGTTTATTCTCTCGAAGAACCAGCTCTTGGTTTCATTGATCTTTTGGATTGTTTCTTTGGTTTCCATGTCATTGATTTCTGCTCTAAGTTTTATGATCTCTTTCCTTCTGCCTGATTTGGGTTCTTTCTGTTGATCCTTTTCTAAGGACTTGAGCTGTGAGGTCAAGTTGCTTATGTGCACCATTTCTACAGACCTAAGGTATGCTCGCAGAGCTATAAATTTTCCCCTTAATACAACTTTCGCTGCATCCCATAGGTTCTGGTAGCTCGTGTCTTCCTTGTCATTTGTTTCCAGGTATCTTTTGATTTCGTCCTTGACTTCGTTCCTGACCCATTCATTGTTCAGCATCGAGTTGTTTAATTTCCAGGTGTTTGATTTGGTTCTCCGTTTCTGTGTGTGATTCACTTCTATCCTCAATGCATCATGATCTGAAAAGATGGCTGATACTATTTCTATCTTCCTTATTTTGTTGAGGTATGTTTTGTGTCCTAGCACATGGTCTATTTTGGAAAATGTTCCGTGTGCACTGGAGAAGAATGTGTATTCTTTCTTTTTGGGGTGTAAAGCCCTGTATAAGTCTATAAGCCCTCTCTCTTCTATTTCTTCTTTCAAAGCCAATGATTCCTTGCTGGGTTTTGTTCTTGTTGATCTGTCCAGAGGTGATAGGGCAATGTTGAAGTCTCCAAGTACTATTGTGCTGCTTGCAATGCCCTCCTTAAAGTCAGTTAGCAGTTGTTTTAAATATTTGTCTGTTCCCTCATTAGGTGCGTATACATTTAAGAGTGTGATTTCTTCCTCTTTTACGTATCTCTTGATGAATAGAAAATGACCTTCACTGTCCCTTCTAGCCTTTTTCAGGGTGACATTAATGTTGTCAGATACTAGTATGGCCACCCCAGCTTTTTTACAGGAGCTGTTTGCTTGCAGGATTGTTTTCCATCCTTTGACTTTGAGTCTGTGTTTGCTCTGAGTGTTGAGATGAGTTTCTTGTAGGCAGCAGAATGTTGGGTTCTGTCTCTGTATCCATTTTACCACTCTGTGTCTCTTCAATGGTGAATTGAGACCGTTGACATTGAGAGAGAGTATGGTTATGGGGTTTTGTGTCATGTTTCTGTGCGTGTGTGTTGTGGTTGTAGGGTTTGTCTTGTCTTATAGTAGCCCATTTAGTCCTTGTTTTAGGTTTGGTTTTGAGTCTATGAAGTTCCTGAGCTGCTGTTTATCTAGAAAATAGTGTAGCTTTCCATCTATTTGGAGTGAGAGTTTAGCCGGATAGAGTATTCTTGGTGAAGCATTCATTTCAGTGAGTTTTTTGACTATATCTCGCCACTGTCTTCGGGCTTGTAGGGTTTCCTCTGAGAGGTCTGCTGTGAATCTCAGGGGTGCTCCTTTGTATGTGATTTCCTTTTTTGCCCTTGCTGTTTGCAGTATTGTGTCTCTATCGGCAGCATCGATCATTCTAACTATAATATGTCTTGGGGTGTTTCTGTTGGGGTCTCTTTTAGTTGGCACCCTTCGGGCTTCTTGAATCTGGATGGTTGTATTATGGAGCTCTGGGAATTTTTCGGCAATAATTTGTTTCAGCATGGTTTTTTCATTGGGATTGTTTCCTTGAGCTTCTGGTAGTCCAATGATTCTAATGTTGTTTCTTCTGGAATCATCTCGTAGGACTCTGATTCGCTCTTGAGCTATTTTGAGGTCTCTTGCCATTGTTTGCTGTTGTCTGTTGGCTTGGTGCAGCTGATGTTCCAAGTCACTGATTCTTTCCTCAGCTGTGGTTGTTCTATTTTTGAGGGCAGTGAGTGAGGTTTTGACTTCATCTATGGAATCTGTGATGCGTGCCATTTCTGTGCGGAGCTTTCCAATTTCGGCTCTCATTTCTTGCTGTATTTTGTCAATTGTGCGATCGATTGTTTCTTTCATATTCTCTTTCAGTTTAGCGGATATGTGTGTGACTGTTTCATCGAGTTGATTGAACATCTTGATGACTTCATATCTGAATTCCTTGTCAGAGAGGTCCCTAAGGTGGTTAGCACCTACTGAGGCTTCTAGACGTATTTCCTCATGGTCTCCCTGTGGTGGGGATTTGCGTTGTTTCCTCATGTTGTTGTGTATGTGGAGGGGTAATATTTGTTGGTTTGAGTGAACTACCTGTGGCCGCGTGAGCTTTGTCCCACCAAAAATTAGGCCATGCCCACTTTTTAAAGCTATGCCCACCTCTGAAGTGGCCACGCCTCCACGGATACCTGGTTTTTGTCCAGGAAGTAAAGACTGGGTGGGGGACAAGGAAGCAGCTCTGATGGGTGGCCGGACCAAAGGGACAGGCAGAGAGACGCAGATCCCCTTTTCCTCCCAGCGTGGGGGGGGGGGGGGCGCCTGCAGACACTTGCGCGATGGGGTTCCAGTCCCAGGTCAGAGGGGAGGCGCAAAGACCAACCTGGGGGATGGGGGACAAGGAAGCAGCTCTGATGGGCGGCCGGACCAAAGGGCTTTATTGCTTTTTTTGGAGGGAGTTGGTTTGTGTCACATCCAACAGAGCCCAGCAGATATTCCTGGGTCTGTGCTCAAAGGACCATGCAGTGCTGGGGACTGAGTAAGGGTTGGCCACATGCCAGTCGGCTTTCCCCCTTTACAATCTCACTGCCCTTGTGGTCCTTCCACTGTTGCTGAAAATCCATTTTGCATGTAGAGCACCAGGCACTTTATCAGCTGTGGCAGTAAGTAGTGTGCGCTTTCTTCTCTTGATGTGCAGGGATTATTTTTAACACTAAACATTTGAGCTAAATTTTATTTAGGTTTTTACACAAATGAAGTAATAGTATTAAGAGAATAAATGTGAATTCTGGAGAGGAAGCTTTGGCTGGGAGTGTGAGAATCCTGATGTTAAATTTTTGAGAAACTTCTACTAGGCAGTAAGGTAAGCGTCTATTGAATAAGAATAAGCATCTATTGAGTAAACTTCTATCTCAATGATTTGGTCCTCTTCATCTGAGTTATGAGACTGGAGGAACACAAATAACTTCTGCCCACAATTCCCTGATCAGGATGACTTTATCCAATGGCATTATATTTTAGGGGGGCATATCCAATGATGCTCAGTGCTTACTCCTAGCTCTTTGGTAAGGCATCACTCCTGGCAGGCTCAGGGGGCCATATGGGTGCCAGGGATCAAGCCCAACTTGGCCGCAAGAAACGCAAGTGCCCTACCCACATGCACTATTGCTTCAGCTCTCTGACGATATGTTAGTATTCACTTTATATGGGATTTTTTTGTCTGTTTGTTTTGTTTTGGGGCCATAGGTAGTGGTGCTCAGGACTTACTCCTGGTTCTACACCAGGAATTACTCTTGGTGATTTTAAGGGGATCAGATGGCATGCTAGGGACTGAACCCATGAATACAAGGGCCCAACCCATACCCCTTCGGGACTTAACTTTAACTCAGAGAGATCACTCCATTACCTCATTTACTTACCTTTTCTTTTCAGTGTCCCAAAACTCCTTACGATTTCTTGAACAACAGCTGCTCCACTTTGAGGGTCGATGCCACCAAATACCCACGAATCTCGGTGACCTCCAAGAATGACATACCTGTCTAGAAAGCATCAGTGCAAAATTACATACTTGAGGTAAAGAATACAGCAAACATCAAATGATTTTCATAGCATATAAAATCAGGCCACTTGTGGGCTGGAAAGATAACAGGCTTTACTCACGGCTTATGTGTGGGAGGCCTGCGTATAATCCTGGGTACCATGTGGTCCCCCAAGTGCTGTCCAAAGTAATCATTGAGTAGAATGCTGAGGGGATACCCTGAGCACCTCTGGATGTTGCCCATACGTGAACAAGCATGAAGAACTTTTTTAAAAGACAGATTTATTTGTGTATAAATTTCACAAATACACTATCATCTGATTTTAACATATGAAGAAGATATGGATGTTATAAAAGTGTATTTCAGCATATTATAGAAAGTATAACTGTTGAAGTAATGATGATTATGGAACGCGCCTTACCCACATCACTATGTGATCCATTATCACTCCCCTCATGCTACTCATCATGTTACTCCCAGGGCTGCTAGTTTGGTGACCCCATGGACACATACTAACCTTCCCATCCTGCTCCCTTCACAGATGCTTCTAGTTAAAGATATTTACCTGCATCGTGAGTTGTTCCTATTTTCTACAGGGAGAGGGAATTTCTGTCCCTGCCTAGAACCGATATCTAATGAAGCATTTGCCACGTTGAAATGCACAGGATTACTCTCAAATTGTGCATTTGTTTGACAGTGTCTTTTCTTGTGTTCACCCCTTCCCAAATGTAAGCAGAGAGCTGGCAGAAACTAGATAAAATTCAACAAATAATTGTTTAGTTCTCATTGGAACAATGTCAATATTCTTAAGCCCTAAAGAATTTTTTTTGCTTGGCTCTCTATAAGCAAAAAAGTACAATTTAATCAGATTTATTTTGTTGAGAAACATACAACAGAACTAGAACATAATGAAGTACTAATTTACATCCACATAAATATAAATTAAATGTCAAATCATATTTAGGCCGTAGCGATAGCATAGAGGATAGGGCATCTGCCTTGCAAAGGGCCGACCCAGCCAACCCAGGTTCGATTCCTCCACCCCTTTCGGGGAGCCCGGCAAGCTACCCACATGGCATAGCCTGGCAAGCTACCCATGACGCATTTGATATGCCAAACACAGTAACAAGTGTCACAATGGAGACGTTACTGGGTCCGCTTAAGCAAATTGATGAACAACGGGAGGACTGTGACAGTGACAGTGACAAATCATATTTATTTATTAAATGCATTAATGACAGATTGTCAGAAATTGCATTTCCATATAGTTTTTCAATGAACTATATAGCTCAGTGGAAATCAAAAGTATGTAAAGGGTACATTAATTCAAAGTTATCCAAACTTTTTGTGTGCCATCTTTTACATAGTTATTAAAATGATTATCTGTGCAAAATATAATCTATAAAAATCTGGAACACACTTTCCAAAGGTATCTCCTTGCCTCTCCTCCCTGAGTCTTTAACTGAAGCCTGTGAAGTAGTTCTTTGCTGACTGTGGTTATCTTGCCTAAATATATGGTTTGCTTCAAAACATGTAACAGAGAACAAACTTGTCTCATATTTCAACATTTTTTGTTTAAGTAGATCCCATTAAGCAGAGCTCCTCTGCTTGGTTTGCTTTATATTCCCAGTGCTCAGAGAATCATGTGACTCAGAAGAGTTATTAAGCTGATGCTTTATAAGTAAATGATTAATTTACCTGGTTCCACAGCTCCTCTGAGTGTTCCTATGACATTATAAATTCTTGTTACCTTATTGTTGGAATGGATGTGCATCTTGACTTTTCTAATGCAAAATGATAAAAGACACGCTTTAAAAATACTGATTATCAGTTTACCACTCACCATCCTCAACACTTATATTATGGTTTAAAACATTTCTAAATGCATAGTGTATGCAGGCAGGAATTATACTGGTCAATTATTCAATTTAATGGTGTCACTGGACTCCCATCTTTAACCTGTGGTTTTGTATCATATAGGTATCAGATATATTTTGCTTATTTAGTCACATGAGACAGTTTTTTTTGATGTTTTCTCTACTTATAAAGAGTTAACATAAATGGTGCCTTCCATAGAAGGTCTTCTACTGACCTTGCTTCAGAGACCCATAAATAAACCTCGAAAGAGATCAAAAGCCACAGTTAATCTCAGACACACACATGGCTGAACAGACTGGGATAAATCAGAGTTTGGTCGGTTGGCCTGATGTCCCTCCTAAGCAGAGCCCCCAGCAGCCCCTTGCTTCCACAGTCCAAAATCACCTCCATGCCCCCGGCCTGACTACACCATCTCAGGAAGGACTTTCACTGAACATAATCTGCTGAAAATTTGGATATATGGATTTTGTGACTGAAATCCCCAGGCTTGGGGGGTGTTGGGGGATGGTGGCAGCGAAGTGGAAGACATTGGTGGTGGGAAACATACACTGGTGGAGAGATGGGTGTTGGATCATTGTATGACTGAAATCTAATCATGAACAGCTTTGTAATGGGCTATCTCATGGATATTCAATAAAAATTATTTTAAAAGATTTCTTAACTGAGTAGAAAAGTTTCCTATGAAGCCTGGTCCAACATTGTAAGGCACAGGAAGACTTCCTTTCCAACTGTGCTCTGGCGCTGCTGGACCACCCATTTTCCTGTTGAACATGAAAAACATCATCATTGGAATTGGAAAGCTAAAGTTATAGAGTCAGGAAGACTAAATTGGACTTTGCATGTGATCAGTTAATCTTTACTACAATGATGCTAGTTATCGGTATCTGTCTTAAAAGGAAGGTTCTACTACTTACCCCACTTCACAAACAAGTAGCATTGATAGCATGCTTAAACTCATGCTGCTGATAAGCAATGTAACTTAGAATCATATATTTGAAAAGAATTTATGCTGTGAGCAATTTCTTAGAGTAAATAGTGTTAAACATGTTCTCGGGGGTATGGTGCTGCCAGCAGGTCAATCTGTACCTGTAAGGTGAGTGCATCAACAGCCTGATGGCAACGTCAGACTTTCAGATACCCCAAAATTGCTGCTGTGCCTCTGGCCAGACCCTAAAACCTTGGGGCAAAGTTTACCAAGAAAGTAAACAGCCAAAAGTTAGGTATGTGGGAGACACACCCACAAACCACCTTCAGCTCAGCTATATAGTTGGAGGCATGGCCTCTCTGGTTCCTGATCGAACTGCTTAATGGCCATGATCCCAGAGTCTCAGAAACGAATCTCGGAACCCAAAGGCTTTTGGCAGAGATGTGTCTTGTTCCTGCAGTAGGTTACTGGCGCTGGGCCACTCCAGGTGGGAATAGGTTTCGTGCCTTGGCCTGTTCCCCCTGGCGGCCTGGTGACCACCATCCTCCAGAGGCCACTGGACAGTCAGGCTTGGGCCTGCAGTGACGAGACACACGGGGCCTCACCACATGGGGGTGCAGCCGACTCTTTCTCCCCATCCCAATGAGACCCTGAGTCGCCGCCTACAAACAGCCTCTCTGGCTTCTGATCAAGCTGATTAATAGCCATGATACCGGAGACTCAGAAACAATTCTTGAAACCCAGCGGCTTTGGCAGAAATGCATCTGGACTGCATACAAGGTGGTTGCCGGCTCAGAGCTTATTGGAAAGCCAGGTATGAGCTGGCGGTGACGGGGCAACTGCAGTCTCATGGAAAGGGGGGGTGGTACCAGCTTGTCCTTCACGCCCTACCGAGGTCACGAGTTGCCCCCCAAAAGCGGTTCTCTGGCACGGCCATGGCTCCAGAGGCAAAAGAACTTAATCCAGAGCCCGGAAGCTTGCGGCAGAAAAGTGAATGGACCATGCGTTAAACTATGGCTCCATGCCTCCCCAGGAGGGAAAGGGTGTTGCTCCCTTCCGCCTTTTCCCTCCCTGGCAGCAAGGTGGCCACCGCCTCAGAGCTTATAGGAAAGCCAGGTACGAGCCTGCGGTGACAGGGCAACTGCAGTCTCATGGGAAGGGGGGCAGTACCAGCACACCCTTCACGCCCTACCGAGGTCACGAGTTACCCCCTACGAGCGGCTCTCCGGCATGGCCATAACACCAGACACACAGAAACCAATCTCATAATTATCTGGCTCTTTGCAGAAATCCAAAGCGGTGGCCGTGTGACATTATATGATTCTCATAACCAGCTATAGAAAACAAAATATTTCACAATGCCTTTTCAGCAATTCTGTTTGGGGGGAAATTCTGAACAATAATGATGCATCTTTTGTCGAAATAATGAATGTAATCAATGTAGAGAAGAGTTAATTAGAAATCATCTGCCACACAGGCATTTGGAGGGCTAGGAGGGGGGGTATACTGGGGTTCTTGGTGGTGAAAAATGAGTATTGGTGAAAGGAAAGGTATTTGATCATTGTATGACTGAGACTTAAACCTGAAAGCTTAGTAACTTTTCCCACAGTGATTCAATAAATAAATATAAAAAGAAAAAAAAAAGAAAAAAATTAAGGTGGAGTTCATGCCCAATTCAATCAGCTAATCAGTGGCTGAATAAATAGCAGTACTCCTACAAAAAAAAAAAAAAGAAGAAAAAAACATGTTCTCCAGAGCCTGCTTTGAGAAACAAACTGTTGATGTTAAACTCATTGGAGTTTCTATTATTTCTCTCATTGATAAATTTATCTCAAATATGTATATGAGAATCCTTTTGCAAAGAACTTTTTCACTCTCATGTATTACTGAATAAGAAAGAGCAAAGAAAAGAATTTATCTAAAAGTTTCATGTTATTTTCTTCATTAAAAATGTAGATGGACTAACTGGTACATGCCATTATCCAGAGTTATATCTTAGGAGCAGACGGAGAAAGATGTGGTAATGTTTATGGGATAGCAGAGTTCTTATGGTCCTACTTAAATATACCTGCCATTCAACATTAAAAGCATGTGTTGACTTCTTAATTTGGATATGTAAATGGATGTACTTTTGCTAAACAGTAGCAGAGAGGAGAAAGTGGTTCAAGGTAAATTTAGAGTGGAAATCATCACCTTTCAGTTTCTTTCTGTGAGTCTGCTCTTATCCTGTGTGGCCGAGGCTTTGCAACGGGTCCTGTTTTATGGCTTATCATTATTCTGTGTTTATGTACAAGTCCCCTTCCTTTCCTACCTAATTGAAGCCCTGTAAATAGCTTTACTTGAACTAGGATTCACTGCACATGAAAATCTATAGCAACTGATAAGGTTGATACTTAAGCATACCCCATGATACTTGCAAAATCTGTGACTGACCCTGAATCAGAACCCGCAGGTAACAGTCTCAAAAATGGGGACCCTGTATATAAAAAGATGCCTCCAATTATCTGACGTCAATCTCTTTCCTGCAAAAACGTGGCATTTCACTAGGTCATAGTTTTCTTAGGAATGCAATAACATGACTAAGAACTCCCTGAACTCTACAGAGGAAAAGGACTAACTGAAACGTGTGGATGGGTGATGGTAGGCAGGAAAGAAGAAACAGTTCTAGTATCAAGACACTTGAAGAGATTTCAACAATGAGTAAGAGAAGGAAAAGTAAAAAAGAGATGAAGACAAAACAGATGTTGCACTCAATGTGTTATTTCAGGTCCTTCAAGATATAGACAAGAGGATCAGAAGAACATATTTTTTTTAAGGAAAAGGCCTCTGGTGGTCATAGTGAGGGAGTGAGGTGGCAAAAAGAGCTCAGTGCAGTCCTGCCCACTCAATGCAGGCTGCTCCACAAACTGGTACAACAAATTCTTATGGTCACCAAAAGCTAACCAAATTTTACAAAATAAAAAAGACTTCCAAACACTTTAATTTGCATTGATTCTTTCCTTCCTTTCCTACCTTTTGGTTCAGTTCAGAGCTCAAGTGACCAGGGTCTATTCCCGCATGTCAGGGTCGGAGACTAAAACCAAGCCTTCACAGAAATCCCTTCATGCACACGTACACAACTGGGCTCACTCATTCGCCGTAGACAGTGGAGATACACCGGTGAGCTCTATGAGTCCAGACCTGGGATAAACCCTGCACTTCCAGGAGGGCACCTGAGAACTAGGGGAAACCACACAAACTCCGTACAGATAGTGCACCCAGTTGGGAACCCATTCATGTTCTCATCAGTGTTGGACCAAATATTATCAGAGAACTAACTAAACAGGGTAAGGGAGAAAGGGAAGGAGGAGTTCAGGGAGGGTGGTGGGGAGTCGCCAAAGTCCGGGGCCATCACCCGGAGGGAGCCTGCGCCCTCTGGAAGGCGGTTTGCATGTCCCTGCTGTGAACACAGGTGGAGTCTCAAGGCACGATGATGCTTAGAGCGACCCATCAACTATCTCCCTGCAGGATATCTAAAGTCTCTTTCCCATGGCTGTCACACGCTGAATACTAATATAGAAAGTAAATTCCAGAATAGAGTCATTATTCCATAAAGTGGTGGAAAAATTGCTCGTCCATCTCAAAGCATGTCACTAATGAACAGTGGACAGAGAAACATCAATGTGACACGCTGCAATAAGGAGAATTACCTACAGAGTCATCTGTTTTTCACAAACTCACTCTAGCAGCTTATGTGCGTCGTGGTAGCCAATTGGGTGGACAGGAATCCTTGGGAGACCAACAGCTTCTGCGATTCCACGCCTATAAGCATATTCTGAAAAAAAAAAAATGAACAAATGTATAATAGAGATTCAATACTTTTTAAAAGGTTCTTTGTAATTTACATTAAACACATTCTCTTGTTTCATATGTTGGAATTAATACAGTAATAAATACAGTAAATAATAAGTTAATAAAAAGAAAAACATAATTAGATGTTAATAAAATGTGGAGCAAACAACATTATCTTACATTTCTGGAAAATTATGGTTATTTTATTTGACTCTCTTGAAAAGTAAACAGGAATATGCACTACAGCACAGCAACTACATTTATAGTCATATACTCAAGGAAGATAAGTACATAAGACTACAAAAAGACCTGCTCAAAATTGCTCACACTGAATATTGCCTGGAATATGCAACCAGGAAAATGAATAAGTAATTTTTGTAGTAAATTTTCACAGTTAAAAGGAAAAAGCCACAAATGATCAGTATAAATCTCAAATTATTATGCTGAATTAAAGAAGCAAAGCACACAAGAATTCACTGATACCATCTCTTAAATAATCAAAACTAGGAAAATGAATTTATGTCGACATATCAGAAAAGGTACCTTTCAGGAATGCATTAGAAATCAACCGGATAAGAACATTAAAGAAACTTCTGGAGTTACTTAATATTAAGTGACCTAGAGGGCACAGCGGGTAGGGCATTTGCCTTGCAAGCAGGCGAACCGGGTTCGATTCCTTTGTCCCTCTCGGAGAGCCTGGCAAGCTACCGGGAGTATCCCGCCCTCGGGGCAGAGCCTGGTGTATTCGATATGCCAAAAACAACAAGTCTCATGATAGAGACACTACTGGTGCTCACTCGAGCAAATGGATGAACAACAGGAAGACAGTCCTACAGTGCTACAGAGGTATTCAGTTATTTGTTTATTTATCTACTTTTGCTGTGTTGGGGATTGACTTCACAGAAGTAAGGCAAGAGCTTTGCTGGTGAGCAATGTTCCCAGTCTTAGAGGTATGCTGTTGGAAAACTGTCTTCTCCTTGGGCCAGAGCAAGAATGCAGTGGATGGTGCTAGCCTTGCACACAGCACACCTGGGTTCCATCCCCAGGACCCCATATCATCCCCAACCACCACTAGGAGGAATTCCTGAAGGCAGAACCAGGAATAACACCTGACCATCTCCAGGTGTGAACCAAAAATCCAAAAAAAAAAAAATTAAAATTAAAAAAAAAGTAAACAAAAAAGTTCTGTTTTGAAAATCTGGCATTTTATTGCTTGAAAATTCCACCATGAAATTATGTATATATATTCTACCAATCCTTAAGATTTAAGAAAAGTAAGAGCTATTTATCTAACTTCATAAATATTTTAAAGCTTCTAATGAAACTGTAGGCAATTTGTGAAATCTTATTCTGCTTATGTAGATATTTTAGGTGTGATTTGCTATAAACTTTTCTAGATAAATAAAAAAAAGACAGTGAATAAATAAACAAAATTTGACAAAGTGGGTTACTTATCTCAATTTCTTATTGTTTTTGGACATATCTGGTAATGCTCAGGGGTTATCCCTGGCCCTACACTCAGGAATCACTCCTGGTCAGTGGGGGGAACCATTTGGGATGCCTGGGATTGAACCAGGGTTAGTTGCATAAAAGGCAAATATCCTATCCTCTGTACTATTGCTACAGCCCCCGTATCTCTATTTTCATATGTTAGAAGTATTCGATAATAAAAAAGCAAAAAATCATATGCAAAAGAAAATTTAATGGACCTTAGTCTCCTAAGAATAATATGGTCGCTCATAAAATACCATCATTTATATTTGACAGTCCACTGAAACATTTAAGTTAATCTCATTTTATATTCATAATTTATGCTTTGTTTAACTAACACAGCTAATATATTTGCATTTTTACATTCTGGAATAAAAAAGAAAAATAAGTAAAATGCAATTTATGTTTAGGCTGCTTACAAAAACCCAAAAATCTCATCTATGACAGTGTACTATGTTCTAAAAAGATTTAAAAATCTAAAATACCTTAAGTTTTAAAGGAATTTATAATGTGATAGAAACAAACAGGTGAACAAATATAAAATGGCAGAAATGCTTTGGCAACCTATTTTATGCACATATTAAGTCTTAATTAGTTTTTTAAAAGTGAGCACATATTTTTGCATGCAGCATTAAAACTGTAAGTATGTTATAAATAAATGACCTCCCGCTGTTAATGATGTACTCCCAGTAGAAACACTTGAGCAGTCAGATACTCCTGAACTCTGGAACTGACTGCCTGAGGGTGAAGTTCAGCTCCTCATTTCATGTTATTCAGATCTGGAGCAGATTGCTACTTTTAACTTTCCGCATTTGAGAGTAGTAATGATAATGCCATGAAGTTTATAGGATTCTCAATGCATGTGAAGAACTGAGATTTAAGGAACACTCATTAAAAGTTAACACTGTGAAACAATTAAATTGTGTGGATGGGCATTCCTCAGTAATAAAACCTGCTCTGACATATAAACCCACTTTTAACTTATTTGAAAAGAAAAATTTTAATTTAGCAGACATGAGGCTCTTTTATTTACTTATCCCAAATTAGTACAATTCATATACTTTGCTGTAAAATATGCATATGTTTATTTCATCTACCTATCTATCTATATTTAATTTGTAGGTGCAAAAAGAATTTTAAAAAGATACTTTTGGTATGTTCAAGGAAATCTTTCAACAAACTAACTTAAAATGGCATTAGGTTGTACAATGATTGAAGCCTAGCACTCACCATTTGCTGGGTAACCAGGCGTAAGAGGATCCCCTGCACCATCAAGGGTCAAGACATTTCCACGCTGAACACCACCTCCAGGAAGACTCCACCCTTCTGGGTAGGAGGGCACTCCGGGAGCAGAGGAATCAGCAGGGTCTGAGTACAAAATGATTCCTTTGGCCCCTGCCAACTCAGCATTTTTAACCTGAAAAACATGTCTTTCTTATTCCAAGTTAGTTGTTCTTAATTTGGTAATTTCGGGAGAGGGGAGAGCTCCCAAGCAGTGCTCAGTGGGTCCAAGAACGCCTTCTGGGGAGTCCAGCTCTGGGTCTCCTTGGCTGCATTAGCCATGCTCAGGAGACGGGGTGGCACGTGCCTTACTCTCACACCGTTTCCCAGGTCTGTTGCCTTCAATATTTAATCATTAGCCCTAGAACAAAGGATGTCTCATAGAGAGACAGGTTTATTTAATTAATTTTCAGCTGTTTAGTTTTTATTGTGTCCTAAAAATGAGTTTCTAGGGTTTGGGTAGCTCTGAGGGAAATTTGAAAATTTTCCATTTTAGTGGTAATGAGTTTCCTTGTTTCTTCCACTGATCTAGATGAACAACAGACCAGTTTAGAAGCACAATAAGCAACAGGCTCCACAAGCCAGGTATCTGCCTTCCATAGCTAAAAAGCAATGTCGTGTGTGTGTGTGTGTGTGTGTGTGTGTGTGTGTTTAATTTCCCACAAAATTTTGAAAATTAGCAAGTAATAGTAGTATTTAAAACTGTGAAATAATAATTTTCTATCAATACATATTAAAATTAATTTAGCACTGGAGAAGCTAGTACAGAGTTGAAGGCACTTGTGCTGCCTGCAGCTACACCCAGATTGCTTTGTGGTTCTGCATAGACCGCCCTAAGCACTGCCAGGAGTATCCTGGAGTATAAAGTCAGAAGCAAACCCTGAATGTTGAGTTAGTAAAACGTTTCAAAGATAGTATTTTAAACAAAGATATTAAAGATTGACAACAAATCCAGCGCATTTGTTTTTGAAGACCCCAGATATAATTTTCAGGCACTGAAAACTCTGCTCATCTTCCAGAATTTCTACTTTGACCTAAATACAGTGACCCAATTTAATGCTCCTCGCTACATTCAAGTATATGTGTCTTCTTTAAAAGGTTACATATAAGAGCATATGAGAGAATCCTGGTCCCTCTGAAAATTTTAAGGATACATATGTGAGATTCAATATGACTTTTTATATTTGGGGAAATAGAAAACAACATGAGTTTTACCTTATTTCCTCTGAAAATTTTTCCATATCTGGCAATCACAATCTTCCCAGAGCAACTGATTTTCATGTCCCGCTCAAGTTTAAAGAAGTCTTCAGTTCGTGCATAATTAACATACACTAGATCACCCTGTAGAGATCATGAATGATTTAATACAAAACTTAAATTCAGGAAGGTGGAATTTTCTCTGTATGAGGATTTCTTCAGATCTTTGAAAGACAGAGGCAAGAGAACTCAAAGGTGCCAATAGCATGATTCTCAGATAAGAGATTTAAGGGAGAAATAAACTTGAATTTAGGAGGCAATTAGATGGGTTACAGACACATGATCTGAATAGCAACTTTAAAAATAATTTTCTATTTTATAGTGGCATGAAACTATAGAAATGTTCTCCAGAAAATCATTTACTATACACATCGCATACAATAGTAAATGATTTGAAAGAGTTCAGGCATTATAAGACAAGAGGTCCTTCCTTGATGAGGGCTTGGGATGTGGTTCAGCAGAAAAACATACTCTCATTGAGGTACCATCACAGAGTAGCTAGAGGGGTATTCATAAGCAGCAGGTAAGAAAGAAGGGTCAGGTATTATACTGTGTCAGGGATCAGGTTCATATGACTACTGTATCTATGCATAATTTTATAATATCTCAATCTAGACTCATAAGTATTCTCCAAATGTCCCTTGCCCACCTGCTTTTTACATTAATTTTGTTTTCATTTTTGTTATTTGGGCCAATGCTCAGGAGTTACTCCTGGCTCTGCCCTTAGGAATTACTCTTAGAGGTGCATGGGGCACCATATGGGATGCTGAGGACCGAACCCAGGTCAGCCACATGCAAGGCAAATGTCCTACCTCCTGTACTATTGCTCTAGCCCTCTAAATTAATTTTTAAAACAAATACATACCTTCATTTTTATATTGGCACTGAAAATTGTTTATCAGATTTTAAGTTACACAGAGTGCAGTTTATAGCATGTTATACATATTTTAATTGTATAAGCAATTTTGACAACTATATATGTCTTACAAGAGTTTTAGAGATACATGCCTTACTCTTGAACATTATTTGAAAAATAACACTATTTTTCAGAAGAGATCATTCATTCCTCATTTAGAATCCATCATTCCTTTCTTGTGTCTGTATTTCACTCCTCCTTCAATAGCACTTTACAGTAAAACATACTTGATTGGTACACGGGATGTGCTACCCAGACCTCCTTGACTGCAAGGATTCTCTCTGGCCAGTCGGCAGCTCTCAGCTGTCAGTGTTCGACAGCGTCCGATCACATCACACCCCTTACTGGGTGCCATCCATTCTGAGCTGCGTGGGAGAATACAGACTTGGACATCTGGATTCAGTAGAGAACAACACGGAAGGGCTCTGACTGCCGAGCTATCAATGGAGGCTGACCCCACCAGGTTCTGCAGCGCCATTTCTCTGAGCCTATAAATTTCCAAATGACATCTAGCATGTTAAAGACTATTTCAGTTTCTCTTACCTATAATATTAGTATTTTTGAAAATTAATTTTGTTCTTAAAAATCGCCATGCTTAAGGTGGCCGCAGCCTCAGAGCTTATAGAAAGTTCAGGTATGAGCCGGCAGTGACGGGGCAACTGCAGTCTCAGGGAAAAGGGGCAGTACAGGCTCGTCCTTCACGCCCTCCCGACGTCACAAGCTGCCCCCCACTAGCAACTCTCTGGCACGGCCATAACACCAGATGCACAGAAACCAATCTCGTAATTATCTGGCTCTCTGCAGAAATCCAAAATCGTGAGGCCGCTATCTCGGCTGCATGACATTACATGATTCTCATAACCGCTATAGAAAACAAAATATTTCACAATGCCTTTTCAGCAATTCTGATTGTTGGGGTAGAAATTCTAAACAATAATGGTGCATCTTTTGTTGAAATAATGAATGTAATCAATGTAGAGAAGAGTTAAGTAGAAATCATCTTCCTCACAGGTATTGGGAGGGTTTGGGGGGGATATATTGGGGTTCTTGGTGGTGAAAAATGAGTACTGGTGAAGTGATAGGTGTTTGATCATTGTATGACCGAGACTTAAACCCGAAAGCTTTGAAACTTTTTCCACAGTGATTCAATAAATAAATATAAGTAGAAAAAAATATATATAAATAAATAAAATCATGAAAAAAACAAAAATAAGGTGGAGTTCATGCCCAATTCAATCAGCTAATCAGTGGCTGAATAAATAGCAGTACTCCTACATTAAAAAATCACCATGTGTATATTATCAAAATTATTATTGGTATAATAGAGTATATCATTACACTTTAGTAAAGTAAAGTAAAGGCCCTCCCATTGATCATCGATTTGCTCTAGCGGGCCCAGTAACGTCTCCATTGGAGACTTTGTTGTTACTGTGTCTGGCATATCCAATACTCTCGGTAGCTTGCCGGGCTCTCCGAGAGGGGCGGAGGAATCGAACTCGGGTCGGCCATGTTGGCCGCATGCAAGGCAGACGCCCTACCCGCTGTGCTATCTCTCCAACCCTTTACTGGAGGAGGACACTGTCCTCCCATTGTTCATCGATTTGCTCGAGCGGGCCCAGTAACGTCTCCATTGGAGACTGTGTTGTTACTGTGTTTGGCATATCGGATACGTCATGGGGAGCTTGCCAGGCTCAGCTGTGCAGGCGAGATACTCTCGGTAGCTTGCCGGGCTCTCCGAGAGGGACGGAGGAATTGAACTCGGGTCGGCCATGTTGGCTGCATGCAAGGCAAACGCCCTACCCGCTGTGCTATCGAGCGATAGCACAGTGGGTAGGGCGTTCGCCTTACACGCGGCCAACATGGCCGACCCGAGTTCGATTCCTCTGCCCCTCTCGGAGAGCCCGGCAAGCTACCGAGAGTATTCAATATGCCAGACACAGTAACAACAAAGTCTCCAATGGAGACGTTACTGGGCCCGCTCGAGCAAATCATTACACTTTAATGAGTAATAAATATCTAAGCATAAAATTTAAGTTGAAATATATCTTGCATGCACTAATGTTATATATGCAGTCATGTTATAAATGGACTATTAGTTACATTAGGGACTAAATAAGTTATTGCTGAGATGATAAGACTAAACTTCATATTTATTTTTTTGTTTATTTTGTTTTTGCTGTTGTTCTTGGGCCACACCCATCAGTTCTCAGAATTTACTCCTGCTCTCATCCAGAATCACTCCTGGTGGGGCTTAGAGACCCTGTGAGCACTGGAATCAAGCCTGGGGTGACCACATGCAAAGCAAGCACACTATTTGCTGTACTATCTTTCCAGTCCCTACATTCATATTTCTTATATTGTACATCTTTTGAGAAATATCAAAAATGGAAATGAAAGGAGTTTTGTAATGGAATTATCATTAAACTATTTAAATTCCATTAATATCCCCAAAAATATACACTGACTGATTTATCCAAATAAAATATAATGATATTGGCTGGAAACTCAATATGGTTGATTTAGCAAAACTTTTGCCTCAGTATAGCAAAACCATCACAATCTTTTGACTAGCCAAATCATCACAACCTTTCACTACCTTTGTGCTGAATATAATGTGTAGATGAATATGAATATAATTGTCTCTCTATTAGAAGTATTTCCAATTTTATTTTAAATATATTTTTAATCGAATCACCATGAGATACAAGTTTCAAAGTCATTCATGATTGAGTTTCAGTCCTACAATATTCCATCACCCATCACATCCCACATACATTTCAAGCCACCAATGTCTCTCGTTTCCCTCCTGCCCATACCCCCTGCTCTGCTCCCAGAGCCTACCTCTATGGCAGACAATTCTCTTCTGTCTCTCTCTTCCTTTTAGACACTGTGGTTTGCAATATTGTTACTGAATATTGTTTTATATTCTCAAAGGAACTTATAATTATGTGGAGCATATAGAGATAATGTAATATGATATATAGTAAAATTAATAACTAAACAAATTATATAGTATATTAAAAGGTGACCAAGTACTTGAAGCCAGAGAAATAGAGTGGCCAGGGCATTGGCCTTACACACAACTGTCCTAGTTTTAATCCTCTGTACCTCATACGGTCCTCTGAGCACTTCCAGGAGTGATCTCTGAGCACAGTCAGGAGTAAGTCCTCAATACCATCGAATATGGCCAAAAAAACAAATCAAAAAAGGTGAAAAGTACTAAAGAAATTTTGCAAATGTTTAAGCAGAGTAGACAAACTGAACTAGTACTAAAGTATATGCCATCTTAATTAAAAACAGATATGCTTATTGAGGTAGTAATGGAATCTTTGCTTCAGTGAAAGGATTCCCACTAAAATTCCTGCTTACATTTCTTCTTAAAAGCATGCACTAATAACACACTATTCATTCACCTTATGAATCTATATTTCAGTGAATATTTGTTTTTTATATAATGCTTTACTTGAAATCTATCTCTATTTAATATCACCAATTTTGAAAACAGTGCTTAAAATGTCTGCAGATGTGCTTACCTTTCAATGAAACAGCACTCCTCACAAAATAATGATGGAGAAAAGATTAGTGAAGACATTAGTTTTTATTTTTATTTTTTTAATTTTTATTAGTGAGACACCATGAGGTACAGTTGTAGACTCACAAATTTTGTGCTTGGGTTTCAATTACACATTGATCAAATACCCATCCCTCCACCAGTGCCCATTTCCCACCACCACGGATCTCAGTATTCCTCCCACCCCCCATCTCCCCCGTCCCACCCTGCCTCTGTGGTAGGGCATTCCCCTTTGTTATCTCTCTCCTTTTGGGTGTTGTGGTTTGCAAAAGAGACATTGAGTGGCAATCATGTTTGGTCTATAGTCTACTTTCAGCATGCTTCTCCCACTATGTAGTGGTTAGAAAAGATGAAGTCATGAATTTTACATACAAGTGGTGCTACATGGAAAGTATCATGTTAAGCGAAATGAGTCAGAAAGAGAGGGAGAGACATAGAAAGATTGCATTCATCTGGGGAATATAAAGTAACAAAATAGGAGACTAACACCCAAGAATGGCCGAGATTAGTACGAGGAATTTTGCTCCATGGCTTGGAGACATTAGTTTTTAAAGTGAAAGCAGACTTTAAAATAAAAACAAATTCGGTAAGGTGCCTCCTAGTACTTCTCAAATGTGAATTGTCATTGTCAGCTTAAAAACAAAAGAGCTTTGCTTCCATACAATGAGCTCTGTAAAACTTATACTGTGCCATTGTTATATGGGTTGGAATAAGCACAGATTGGTATTGTTAGGCTAGGATTACTTTCCTCCAGCTTTCATCTTCCTGCTTCTGTTAAAAGAAACAGACTTAGAGGGCAGCCTTGGGTGATTCTCAGTGATGCTCAGCCTATTGGGCGTGCAGTATAAAGCAACAGCTTCAAGATACATAAGCGCTCAGGCCCTGTGGTGCCACTCCAGGACAGCTCAGGGGCACATGTGGTGCCCGAAACTGCATCTGAGTCGGCAGCACGCAAAGCATGGGTCTTAGCCATTTACAGTTCCACTCCCCAAGGCACAGTTCTTCAACCATTATAACCACCATCATCTTAGAACCTTTTTAGAAACACAAATTTTCAAACCTTATCTACGGTTTACTGAAATTTAGTGGGGATTTATAACCCCTCCTGGATGATTGTGATAATTGTTGAAGTTTAAGAAACGTCTGATGAGACTATTTTAGAGCATACCATCAAACTTGTAAATTCAAAGTTCTAGGAAGAACCCAATATTTCACATTTCAGAGTAATCAGCTGTAGCCTCACAGACTTTGTTAAGTTCACATAAAAACTTACACAAATAAAAAAGAAAAAAATTCTTTTTTGGTTAGATTACCAGTGACCCAATATTACACATCCATCATTTCCATTTCTTATATCCCTAATTTTTACTTAATTTTATTATTTATTTATTATTATAAGTATTCTTTTAACATGTTAGTTTTTAAGGAAGAACTTTTTTATATCATTAAATACAAAGTTAACTACTTAGTTAAAATATATTTCATACAATAAAAAAGTATTCTATTCTGAATTAGGGAGAGTTTTGAAATTATAAATAAGTTAATCTATAAAATATATTGGTGCATGATTTCTCTCATAGAAATGGGTTATCTCACAGAATGCTGTATCAAACATACAGCAATGCCTAATAATAACCAATTTCTAGTTTGTGTAACAAATCCTAATTGATTAGTGATGATAGATTTTTATAAGTTAATTGAATTCTAAAGTTTAACCATCTTACAAAAATACAAATTACTATGCAGAAATATCAGGAATTTATTCCTTTAGGACTATAAAGATGATTGTATAATTTCATATTATAGTATTTTAGCTTAATAAATCATACTAATACTCTGAATAGAAAATATATAAACTGTTTTCATATATTTGAAAATGACAAAACACAGTAACAACAAAGTCTCCAATGGAGACATTACTGGGCCTGCTCGAGCAAATCGATGAACAACGGGAGGATATGACAGGACCACCAAATTATTTAAAAATTAAACAGTAGTAAACTATACAGCATTTTCTTACATATAAATTATTTGACAATAGCCTTGCACTGCACTGTCCTCCCGTTGTTGTTCATGATTTGTTAGAGTGGGCCCAGTAATATCTCCATTGAGAGACTTATTGTTACTGTGTTTAGCATATCAAATACACCACAGGAGCTTGGCAGGCTTTTCCATGAGGGCGAGATACTCTCAGTAGCTTGCAGGGCTGGCTCTCAGAGAGGGGCAAATGAATCGAACCTGGGTCGGCCAGGTCGGCCACATGCAAGGCAAATGCCCTACCTGCTGTACTATCACTCCAGCCCCATCTGACAATAAAAAGAATAAATATTTTCTAAATTCTAACACTTGTGAATCTCAGAGTTTGTCTGTAAAAGATGCTTTACCAAATAATTAAAGGTTCTTTTGTCATGGTACCCCAATCAAAAGTAGCACTGTACTCCCGTTGTTCATCATTTGCTCAAGTGGGCACTAGTAATGTCTCTATTGTCTCAAGTTTACCTTAAGGCTCTTATTATTTCTCAAACACATGTACATTCTGAATTTGTGCAACACATCACGCTAAACATTATGAACAAGAAATAATAAATATTCCTTTTTTATTGAGACATTCTAGTATCTTAATTGTGGAAAAGCAGTAAATACATAATTATATCAAATTTTCTGTTTAATTCTTGCCTGTGAGGGATTTCTAACACCAGGGCTTAATCCATGCAAGGCATACATTACCCCCTCAGCGACGTCCCACCTATGTGTGTTGTGTGGTTACCTGAGGTGTTCCTTTTGGAGAGAAAGCACTAAACGGTGGAACAACATCTGAAACATTTTCATATCCTGGACAAGGTGGTTCATATAAGGATGTGTTGAAAATCTAAAGGAATACAATAATAATAAGTAAATGGGAAAATATGCATGATTTCACATCAGCAGATAGTTCATCACTCAGTCTTTAGAAGGAGAGGGGTTTGGACCACATGAAGATGCTCAAGGGCTATCCCTGTCTCTGTGTTCAGGGCTCATTCCTGCTGTTGCTGGTGCTGCTAACAGCTCAAAGAGGGTTGGTTGCCTTCGAAACAAGTGCCTTAAGCCCTGTACTATATCTCTGGTCCCTTTCAGTATTTGGAAAATACATATCAAATACTCAATACTTTGCTGGAAAAGGTGAAGATTTTTTAGGCAAATGAACTTACAAATCCTGCTGAATCCCTAAGCACCAATTTATGATTTGATAATAATAGTTTAAAAGCCTAATAGAACAACACTGTTTAGCAATCTTGCACCTGAGTCTCTAGGTTTCTTAACGACTTGTGCAGTATTTTTTATAGCGTGAACCTACAAAAATGCATTTAACTCGGTTGCTTAGAAGTTTGCCAATATGTTAAGTATTAACAAAATAATAGCACAACTAAAATGTAGAACCGTAGCACTGTCCTCCCATTGTTCATCGATTTGCTTGAGCAGGTACCAGTAACATCCTTATTGTGAGACTTGTTGTTACTGTTTTTAGCATATCAAATACACCACGGGGAGCTTGCCAGGCTCTGCCATGACCACTAAAATGTAAATATTAAAAATAAAGATAGCAACAACACCATGCATTAGTTTTCACGGTTTTTCAAAACATATATTACATTCACAATTCATAAGAAAGTAGTTCACAGTAGTAAGGAGATAGGAAAAGGCATCATTCACAAGTTTCAATTATGTCAATTCATAACATTATCTGGAAATTGTATAGCATTCTTCCATAAGGTTAGCAACTGGAAAGGAGCATAACCAGTGGGAAAGTTTTTCTTTTCTTTCTCACCTTTCCTTTCCTTTCTTTTCTTTGTCTGATGCCCTTTCCTCTTTCCTTTCCTTACCTCATTTCCATTTCCATCTATTATTGAGATGTAGTTGGGATGAGTTTTATTTGGATAAGATAACAGGACGTCATAATGGACCAACTCAACAGAATCCAGGCCAAATTCTTTCCACTGGGATTGAATTTGCTTTGCAAGATGAAAGTTTTGTTTTGTTCCTGCTAAATGTGGTATTCTTGTAAAATTACTGTTAAAAAATTGAAAGTAATTAGAAATATTTAGTCAGTTTATCCAAAATCAGTTGCCAGATAAGATAGATTTACATAAAAATTCATTGAAATGTAATACATTAAAAAACAAAATAATATTATTAATGCATCAAATAGATTTTATTTGTATGGTGGGGCTCAAGTCTAGGACTTTGTACATTCAAGGCAAGTGCTCTACCCAAGCTCAGCTCATGATCCCAAATAGTATTTTTGAAGTATTTTGAATTTTTTTTAAGTTTTTGGGTCACATCCAGTGATGCTCAGGAGGTACTCATGCTGTGCACTCAGGAATTACTCCTGGCAACGCTCTGGAGACCATAGGGGATGCCTGAGATTGAACCCAGGTCAGTTGTAATCACCTTACGGCCTGTACTATCTTTCCAACCCAGTATTTATTTTTAAATACTGAAAACAAAAATCAAGTAAGAAACCTTTCTGTTTGTAACCATTTATAAAGTATCTTCGTTGAGAAATTTCTCAACATGAGTAGAATAAATGTCTTGTACTCCATCAATCGTGCAATGTAATATACTGAAAATACATGATAAAAACTAGTAATACCAGAAATGACTTTAACAAATAAATCATGTGACCAAAATTTTGTCTAGCAGAAATATTTTCATGGGTAGACTAATTTCTTAATTAATGTACTTAGATATCAGTGCATTTATTTTTACCCCTAAAACATATACAATTAAATAAACTAAAATGTTATCTTAGTTAATAAACAACTAGAAAATAAATACAATAAATTTCTCCTATTTCATAGAAACAAATTTTAAACTTCATGAATACTAGCTCATTGTTATTTTATTATCTTTTTAATTTCTATATGGAAAAACATCCAACAAATCATCATGTGTAATAGAAACACATCTATTTCAAAGTCACAGACTCCATGAACTGCATGAGTTCTTAATTCAAAATAAATAGGTTTTTCTAAAATCAACACACTCCTGTCCTTTTAGGTAACTTTGTTTTTATTTTGGGAACACACCTACTGATACTCAGGGGTTACTACTCTTGTCTCTGCACTCAGGAATCACTCCTAGCAGTGCTCAGGAGATTAAAAACTTAAAGAAAATCTAGTTACTAAATATTGCATCAAAACTTCATATTGCATCAACATTTCAAAATAGAATAACAAAATTTTCCAACAATAAATTTCTGGTAAATGCTTACTATAAGAATTTCTTGATATTCTCAGCATTCAATTCTTCAAAAAAGGCCATCTTCATATTATGTTGTAAATCAGTTTTAGTAGCTTCATGGGATGACTTCATAAACCATCCTATAAAATATATATGAATATTATAATGAGATATGCACTAATAGACAAGATATACTTTTACTACTGCATCATCCGTGCCAGGCTGTGAGGCAGGTGAGAGCCCTCCCCACTCCAAGGGATCCAGCCCCAGCAGCTGACCGCCTCTGCCCAACCACCACCACACTCCAGGATGCTTTCTGGACCACGCAGCCACATTGCAGCTGCATGACACATTATAAGACACTTCCTACCCATTGATGCCTCTCACAGAGCCCAGCAAGCTACCGAGAGTATCCCACCCACACGGGCAGAGCCCGGCAAGCCCTCCATGGCATATTTGATATGCCAAATTAAGTAACGACAATAGGTCTCATTTTCCTGACCCTGAAAGAGCCTCCAATCATTGGGAAAAGATGAGTAGGAAGAGGCTGCTAAAATCTCAGGGCTGGGAGGAATAGAGATGTTACTGGCACCCACTCAAGTAAATCGAAGATCAATGGGATGACAACAATACAGTGATTCAGCGATCATATGTAAAACATAAATTATCATGGTCTGACATTTAACAGATTTTCTGACATTTCATTCTAATTCCACTGGGGGGGGGGTTCAAGTAGATTTTTAAATTCAAATCAATCTTAACATATTTAAAAGATCAAATTTCAATAATATTTTTACTATCCTAAGATATGGTTTATGGAAAAAATCAGCACCAAAATGTTTTAATGGGGGTCAACAGGATGTCCTGAGTATGAAGGCAAAGGAAGTGTGCTTGTTCTTTCAAGTTTCATACTCAGTATTTGTCCTGCTGACAGAATAAACATTATAATGTTTTAATGCATTGATTATAGTATTCCTAATACATATTTTACCCTAAACCATTGAACCAGTAAAAACTCGGACTTTTCCTGTTTCTAAAGCTACAACAAAATACTCTTAAGGTTTTGTGTTTCTGGTTGAAGAAGGCCTCAGAAAACTACAGTGAAACAATTCACCCAATATCTCTGTGACTCTTCACCCAATATCTCTGTGACTTCAGTGTGCAGGGTGATCGTGTCCAGCAAAATCACTGTTAATACTGGGAAGTTGGCTCTAAATCTGAGGGAAATGGACATCTGAAAAGATTTATTTAGAAAAAAACTACTTAATCTGAACATAAAATGGTTTCCCAAATCACTCAGCTAGCTTTTCTGGAGGTTTCCAAAAACATCGAGGCTTAAATATTTCAATTGTGATCTAAAAATAAGCAGAATGAAGAAGAGGGAGCCTTTGGGGTAAGGGAGAACAATGAATCCTTGGGGGAAAAGAAGCATCTAATAATAGGGAACCTCTTCTGGTACTCCACTAAAAAGGGGAAAAAGCTATTAGAAATAATAACAAAACCAGAATATACAGCTAGAGATGCAGCCCAGTGGCAGAGCACAAGAGCAGGGGAAGGGAGGGAGGAGAAGGGAAAAGCAAAAACAAAAAATGTATAAAATCAATATATAAAAATCTGGACCTGACACACATCAAGAAAAACAAGAACAACCAGTGCTGGCACATATGCCCAGAGAAAGGACACTCAATGTTGCTGGAAATGTCAGCCTTGCCCAGCTTGGTTTGGAAAACACTATGGATATTCCTCAAAGAATAAGAAACTGAGCTTCTGTAAGACCCAGCAATACCGAACCTAGGAATATACCCTAGAAGCCCAAAAATACAATACCGAAAAACCATCTGCATGTCTTTGTTCATTGTGGCACTATTCACAATTGCCAGAATATGGAAAGAACCTGAATGCCCAGAACAGATAAGTGGACAAAGAAACTATGGTATACCTAAACAATGGAATATGCAGCTGTTAGGGAAAATGAAGTCACAAAATTTGCTTATACTTGGATGGACATGGAGAGTCATAAACTGAGTCAAATGAGTCAGAAGGTGTGGGATATAGATTGATCACACTCATTTGTGGGGTATGATGTCCATTTAGAGCCAACTTCCCAGTGTTAAAGGTGATAATATAATCTGGTTGAACATGATCCCCTGCGGGCACTGGATAGTCACAGAGATGTTGGGTGAATTATAGTTTCACTGTAGCTTTCTGAAGCCTTCTTCAAACACTATATATGAAAGCATAACATGAGAATAATACCCAAAGCCTATAGAAACGAGGCCAGAAGACCAGTCCATGGTAGGAAGCGGAAGCTTGCCCCAATGTGTGGGGGAGTACAGTTAGGATAGAGAAGGGTGTGACAATGATGATTGGAAATGGTCACTCTGGACAAGAACTGAGGAAGTAAATTGATATATGTGATAATCTTTCAATAACAGTATTGCAAAGCACAGTGCTAGAGAGAGAGAGAGAGAGAGAGAGAGAGAGAGAGAGAGGTCTGTCATAGAAGCAGGCTGGACTAATGTAGGAGGTAAACTGGGGACATTAGCGGCAGGAAAAGAACAAAAAGACAAAAAAAACTGGGCCTAAGAAGAGCTCAGTGGGCACAGGCACTGTTTTACAGAGGGGGATCTGACTTTGAAACTCCATGTCCTTCACACCACCCTCAGCACCACTGGGTATAGCCCTGGAAGTCCCTGAGTGTGGCCATTTTGGCAATGATGGCCCCTGGCGCCATGGGGCCCAAGGCTGCATCTTGATTGGGTGAATACTGTCTGCAGTGACCCCTCGAACCTTCCAGGCACTGTTTGGGAGGCCTCCATCCACTTGAAAAATCCGCTACGCTACTATATGCATTAAAAAAAAAAAGTTAAAATGAGGTGTTCCATGCTTTATGTGTCTAAAGAAGAAACCGCTAAAATAGCCATTTAACCTATAGTAATATTTACAGATTCATTAAAACCTTATTAAAATCCGAATGACATTCTCCACAGAAATAGAATTCAAAAATCCTAAAATCTCATGGGACCAAAATAGACCTTGAAAAGTCCAAGATCAAGATGTAGAACAACAACAGTGAGTGTTGTCTCACTGTAAACTATTTTACAAATCCATAGTACTCAAAACATGTGGTATTTGAACACTAACAGATACGGAGATCAATTCACAAAACTCAGATGAGGGGCCAGAGGGAAGTCCGCAGGCAGGAGTCTCAGTGACCTAGCACAGGCCTGGCATCCCCAGCAGCGTGCTGGGTGACCCCCAAACCAAAAATAAAGGACAAGCAAGGGAAGATGAAAGGAATGGGGTGAAAGGGGTCAGGGTTGCTGGGCAGTATGCTAGTAAAGGAAACAGAGCATACGTGGAAAATTCATTCAAAATGCATAATGACTCGAACAGAATCTGTGAATAGGACTTAGCAGATCTAAATACAAAACGTTTTGGAAACGTAGTTAGGTCCTTAGCCTCTACCCCAGTCATTATTTTCTTTATTTTTCTCTTCATAGTTCGTTATTATTCTTGTCAACATCAAGAAAAATATAGATAAGATAAAGAAACGGGTCCACCTCAAACTAAAAAAGTTCTGAGCAGTGCAAACGGAAACGCATGGCCCTGGAGGGGCTGCCAGTCCCCCAGCAGGGCTCAGGGGTCCCCGCGAAGGCGGACCCTGGGACCCCCGCTAGCCTGCCCGCCCCGCGGTCCACCTACCAAGCAGGAAGCCCAGGCCCAGCAGCCCAGAGGCCAGCCCCAGGGCAGATGCACACGGCCCGCGGGGACACCGGCCCGCGCTCCGGAGGGTCCACATGGAGCCGCGGCCGCTGGGTACTGTCCCGCTGCTCCGCTGCCCGCCGCTGCCCGCCGCTGCCCGCGCTGCCCGCGCCGCCGCCTGCCGCAGCCCGCCCGGCCAATCCCGGCACGGAGGCGGACTCGGGGCGGTCCTGCGGGAAGGTCCAGACTGACCACAGCCGGGTCTATCCTGCAGCTGTCCAGCTGTCCTTGCTTCACTGTGCAGAGGGAAGGGAGGGAGCTGGGCCCGGGACGGGGATCCCCCGGGTCCAGGTGGGCTGGCGGTACTGGGCATCTCCCGGGTCCAGGTGGGCTGTCAGGCCGGACTGTCAGAAGATCTCGCAAGACCTTTTGCCGGCGCAGAGGTCCTGTGGAGACACGCTAAGGAGCAAGCAGGACAAGCCGGTTGGGTCTGGCAGTGGTGGGGGGCGTCAAGGGTGCCCTGGTGCCAGTGTGAGCTCCCGCGGTGCTGCTTCTGGTGAAAGGCGCTGATATTAACAAGCTTCTGGGGAAGTTATTCATTAATTTACAGAACAACGCCATTTAAAAGAAATAATATTGAAATTTTCTGAAGTCAGAGAAATGCCGCTTTCATAATCCAGCGGCACTTGTTGCTGTTTTATAAATAGCTATAAAATAAGTTTTTGTTTGAATTAACCTAAAAGGCGATTGCACATACTTCTATCACTGTTATAAATTTTAAGTTTCTTTAAAAAAACTTTAAGACCCTGTGATTTATATTAATGTTAATGATGTATTTTCATGCATACAATGTTCCAACATTCGAGATGCTGGGAATCACACCCGAGTCACTTGTGAAAGACAACACCTTCCCTGCTGCGCTCTCTCTCCAGACTCTTGCAGAAGGTTATTTGATGAGCATGTGATATAAACAAACAAGAAAAATCTCTCTTTTATAAATTAACTCATAGTTATCATTACAACTCTTAAAGCTTGGTACCATTGCCCTTTTATTTAGCACATATAAAAATCATAATTTAATTAGATGAAGAAAATCACCCAGACACAAAACCAAAAAGTAATTCAATGTCTGCCCTTCTCTAAAACACTCCAGTTCCTGAGACCAGAGAGATAGTACAGACAGACGGTCCGGCACTCACAGTGCACTGGTTGACCCAAATTGGATCCCTGGCATCCCTATGGTCCCCTGAGCACTGCTTGAGCTCAAAGCCAGGCATAATCCCTGAGTACTGTCCAATGTTGCTCAAAAAGCATAAAGAAAAACAGCAAAAAAAAAAGTCTCCACTTTTTGATTTAGAAAAAGTACACTTGCCAAGAGTTTTGCAAAGGAATACTGTTCTCAGAGCAGAATACAAGAACTAAACTTCAGCAATTGGCTTACTTGAATACATGCTTTACTTGTGAAATGTGTGATCATCCAATAACATAATGAAGATTTTATTTTTATGGAGGAAGAGTTGATATAAAATGAAAGTGTTTGGAATTTCAGATGTGACCATAAATGAAGCAGTCACACTTTGTTCAACGTGAGAATAGGTTTTTATTTTTTTGAAAATAGTAGAACTTTATAACAAATTAATTCATGTCCTATACAGCAAGTTGGAATAAATTTTTAAAAATTAGAGAGTGAAAGAGTGACTCTCAGATCTTAATAAAAGGATGTCTCCTGCACACATGAAGCTTACACTTTAAAAAGAAGACATACTTAAAAAATATTAAAGCCCCATAATTTATGAAGTGATTCATAGCTGGCTGTAGATATGCAGTGTTCTCACCAAGTGTCACCTTTCCTCCATCAGGGTCCCAGGGTCCCTCCCCTACTCCCCCCCCAGCCTGATTTTTGACAGGTACCTTTGTAAGAGTGGTTGTTACAGTTTGGGGTCTCATAGTTTCAATACTGTTCACTCTGTGGTTTGAGTACTTACCTATACCATTCCTTTACATCACTGATACACATGAACTCCAGCTCCCTACCCTGGTCCCATTGTGGTCTCTTCCCCTTGGTTCTGGAATTCTTTCCTTCTCTGTACTCCTCTCTATATATTCTGTGGTCAAGAGTGATGTAAATATTTCCCCTTTAAAACAATGCATTCCATCATCCAGTTATTCTAAATACCACATACAAATGAGATCATCCTGTATTTGTCTGTATTCTTCTGGCTTACTTCAGGGAACAAGACATCTTCCATCTTCAACTATCCATGTTGATGTGATTTGCACAATTTCATTGTTCTTTATAGGTGAGCAGTATTCCACTGTGCATATATGCCACATTTTTATAACTCACTTATCTATTGTTGGACATCTAGGTTAATTCCATATCTTAGTTATTTGTATTGAGTGCTGCTATGAATAATGGTGTACATATGTCCTTTTGAAGAAATGTTTATTCTGTTGAAAGGGTAGATAACACAAAGAAGAATTGTTGGGTCATATAGCAGCTCAATTCTAAGTTTACTGAGAACCCTATATATTATTTTACATGGGGGTGGAACCAGGCAATATTTCTAACAGCAGTGGATAAGAGTTCCTTTTTCACCATATCCCTGTCAACACAATTTGCTCTCAGTATCTTAGATATTCCTGCGTGCACGACAGAGCCTAGCAATCTACCCGTGGAGTACTAGTATGCCAAAAAAAGTAATAATAAGTCCTCATTCCCCTGACCCTGAAAGAGCCCCCAATATGCCATCGGGCTACACTGGCACGTGCCAGGAACGAATGGAGATGTTACTGGCACCCACTTGAACAAATCGATGAACAACAGGATGATAGTAATAGTGATAGTGATTTTAGATATGTGCCATTCTCACTGGTATAAGATGCTATCTCATTGTTGTCTTGATTTGGAATTCTCTAATAAGTTATGATGAGCATTTTTTTATGTGCCTTTTGCTCTTTACTTGGTCTTCCTCAGTGAATTCCCTGAGCATTTTCTTTCTCAATCTTTTGACGGAATTTCTGGATTGTTTTTCTTGATCTTTGTGGGCACTTTATGTATTCCGGATATCAATACTTTATCCCTTTACCTGATGTGTTGAATGCAAATATTTTACCCCATTCAGTTATCTCTCAGGTTTAGCCCTCTTTTCTTTTACCATGCAGAAACTTTAATTTAATGAAGACCCATTTGTTTATTCTCAAAGATGTCTTTAATGATGTGATGTCATTGGCGAAGGCTACAGAAGCAACAATTAAGGAAGACATAAACTTTAAGGTAATTAAAACCTAATTAACATTATGAGTAGGTCCTACATGGTAGAGACTGTTCTATTTCCTTCCTCCCTTTCATCCCCTTTCTCTTTTCCTCTTCCCTCCTTTCTCCCTCCTTCTATTTCCTTCCTTTCTTCCATCTTTCTCTTTCTTTCTTTCTCTTTCTTTTCTTTCCTTTCTGCTTTAAATTCTCTCTCACTTAATTTCCTTCCTTCTTTCTTTCCCTTTCTCCCTTTCTCTTTCTTGTTCTTTATTCCCTCCTTCCTTCCATCCCCTTCCCTCACTCCCTCTTTCTCCATCCTTCCTTCCTCCCTCCCTCCTGCTCACCTTCTCTTCTTTCTTTCTTTCTTTCTTTCTTTCTTTCTTTCTTTCTTCTTTTTTAATTTTCCTTTCTATTCCTTTATTCATTTTCTTTCTTTCTTTTTTTGAATAAATTTATTTATTGAATCACCGTGAGAGCAGTTACAAAGCTTTTGGGTTTAAATCTCAGTCATACAATGATTAAACACCCATTCCTTCACCAGTGCACATTTTCCATCACCAAAACCCCCAGTATAACCCCCATTCCACACCCTCCCCCTACATGTATGACAGATGGTTTCCACATTACTCTTGCTCTACTTTGATTGCATTCAATATTTTGACACCAGACCCACCATTATTATTTGGGATTTTACCCCAACACTCAGATCTTCTGAAAAGCCAACATTAGATAATTTGTTTTCTATTGCTGATTATGAATAGCATATGATGTCACATGGCTGCAGTAGCTGCTGCAGGATTTTGGAATTCTGAAATTTTAATAATTAAATCTGGAGGGAATTCTTTCAAAAGCCTCTGGGTTCTGAGATTTGTTTTTGAGTTTCTGGGATCATGGCCGTTAAGCAGCTTGATCAGTAGCCAAAAGGGTTGTCCATGGGCATTGACTCAGGGTCTCATTGGGGCGGGGGTGGAAAGGACTGGCTCCATCCCCATCCTGTGAGGCCCCGCATGTCTCATCACTGTGGGCCCCTACCTGACTGTCCATTGGCCTCTGGAAGATGACAGCAACCGAGCTGCCAGGGGGAACAGGAGAAGGAATGGCACCTTTTCCCATCTGGGTGGTCCAGTGCCAGAAACCTAATGCAAAATCCAGACGCATTTCTGCCAAAAATCACTGGGTTCCGAGTTTTGTTTCTGAGTCTCTGGGATCATGGCCAATAAGCAACTTGATCAGTAGCCAGAGGGGTCATTAGTGGGCGGGAACTTGGGGTCTCAGTGGGGCAAGGGAGGAAAAGTATTCCTTCCTTCCTTCCTTCCTTCCTTCCTTCCTTCCTTCCTTCCTTCCTACCTTCCTACCTTCCTTTTTTTCTTCCTTTAATTTTTCTTTCCCTTCTTTTCTTTCTTTCATTTTTCTTTCTCTTCCTTCCTTTCTTTCTTTCTTTCTTCTTTATCTTCCTTTATTCCTTCTCTTTCTTTCTTTCTTTTTTATTTTTTTCTGTTTTTTTATGTTTAATTCTTGCTAATACAGTAATGTTAGTTAACAATAAAACAAAATATTCATGCTGCATTAGAATTCATTTGAAAATGAGCTAACCATAGTAAACATAAGACAAATTAAGGAAAAGGAATAAACCAGGGGAAGTATTGTAATTATGCAGAAATAACAGGAAAGAACAAAAACTAAGGATCTTTTAAAATATTTTAACAGCTTTTTAAAAAATTTGTTTTATTGAATCACTGTGAGAACAGTTACAAGGCTTTCAGGTGTAAATCTCGGTCATACAATGATCAAACACCCATCCCTTCACCAGTGCATATTTTCCACTACCAAGAACCCCAATA